TTTGGTGCAAGCCAGCCTACAGACCCCAGTTACAGAGCATCACCCACTGCACCTGTCTGAATGAGCCACTCTGCCAGCAGGTTCACCGTCTGTGCCACTGCTGTGTAGTTTTCAGACAGAAGTTGGATCACGTTCTCTGGAGAACCTCCTGCTTGGAAATACCTGATGGAAAGATCAGAGAAGAGCTGCTAGAAAATTAAGTTTAAAGGAAAAAAAAAGCAAAATACTCACATTTCCATATAAAACAGCAGCACCGCACAGGGAGCTGCGCTCACCTTTTCAGCGTGTTAAATATCGACGGCTCCATGATGTAGTCAGGGGTTGAAAACTTTTTCAGGCACTCCTGCTGGACTTCAGCATCATCTTCTCCCTCCCCATCCTCATCATCTTGCTGGTTGCAAACACAACACGTCAGCCACCTCCGCTATTTCTGGTGCCCCCCCTCTATTTCCATAGGCAGGCCGTTTTTGCTCACACGCAGCACCGCAGAACACGACCCGTTCCCCAGAAACACGCTGTAACACAGCAGGCACCAACCCAGCCCACCTCGCTGCCGTTCCCTTCCTTTCGACGCCCCTCCGAGCCCCCCGGCCCGCACCGAGGCTCCGCCCGCCCAGCCGCCTCATGCCCGCCGCCGGGCCGCCCCGCGCCCTCAGCGCTCACCGCTCCTCCGTCCGCTTCGTTGCCCCACTCCGCCGCGCCGCCCTCGAAGTAATCCGCATCCTCCATGGCTCCGCAGCCAAAGAACCGCGGCCACAGCCGGAACCAGGCCGCGGCCCGCCCCTGGGCGGAGCGACGCGGAATGGCGGGCCGGGCTGCGGGGCGGGGCCGAGGGGCGGCGCCGGGACTCGGAGCGGTTCGTTGCGGTTCGTTGCGGGGCGGAGGTCGCTGTGTCGGGGCCGCGGGACGGGGCGTGGGCCTTCAGCTGGAGAACGGGCCGAGAGCGGGACTGCGGCGCGCGGGAACGCAGCGCCCACACGAGCGGGAGAGCGGCGGAGTGCTGCGGATCGACGGGCGGCAGGCAGAGCCGGAGCGGAGAGAACGGCTTCGGAAATAATGAAAATCAGTCTGACAGCTTCAGTGGAACAAGTGGCCCTTGGTTTGAACTGTGCGCTCTCATCTGTGTTTCTCTCATTTCTGTCCACCACAGCATACAAAGAAGAAACAGCACTCAGGCTAACCCAGGTGTCCCCGGCAGCTTTTGTTGTCCTGCACGCAAACGCAGCGCATTTCCCGCCCAGCACACATCTGACCGTGGCTCCTGTGTGAAAAATCCTTCAGCTGCGGTTCCCAAGGAGCGAGGGTCCGACGGGGCACGGAGCGCCGATGTCTGAGCTGGATAAGCGCTCAGTGCGGCACTGCGGCCATGGAGGGAACTGAGAGATGTGGGTGAAGGAATGGGGGAAACCCTTTTTGTAGGGGTGGGGATGGGAACTGCTCCTCTGAAGGATTAACAAATGCACCAAGTACCTAATGGCGATGTTTAGAACCCACCCGTTTATCCAATTTTGTTACTGGTCTTTTGAGCAAATTGCTGAACGGCTTTGAGATTTCAAACCTAAAGTGCTTCATGTGGTACAGGTATGAAATCACCAAATTTCATTTGGTTTCCTGCCTGGAACAAGAGAGATATCCCAGACTGAAGGGCTGACCTCCAACAAAAACGTTTGCCTTATAGCCACAATTTTTAAAATACCCATCCTGGAATTCTCTGTATGCTCATTCTCTCTGCTCCTTGCCCCCTACAAATTGGTGCTAAAAGAACTTGCATTTTGCATTAGCCCTCTGCAAATCAGACAATACAGTTAACATGAGATAAGGCATTAACTTTCCCATTCCGGAGGAAAGTAGAGCAGCATCAAGTCAGGCCAGTGAGTTTTGTCTGCAGCATGATACTTCAAGCATGACCTTGAGACTCACTGGTAGCAGGGCTATTCCAGGAACTGAAGAGTACAAAACTGTTCTGTAAGAAAGAAGCATCCAGAGACAGAACACGGTAGCTAACTTGAAGACATAACATCATTCTAACACCCTTCAAATTTCAGCTTAAAAATTAGAGCTCTATTTATATCCCAAGGGCTGCTTGAGAGCAGTTTTACAATGCTCTGAGTACTTTTCAAGATAAGCCAACAGTGGAAATGTTTTCCTGTTTCAAAAGCATGTTCCACTGTTCACTTGCATACCGGTCAATGGACACGTTAAACTGCACCTACTGCAGCTCCCCCCAGTTCCCTAAGTGCACGTTCTGTCATTCCTTGCTTGGGGACACCCTGCATCCAAAGGGAGCACTCTTGTGCTCTGTTGGACAGAACCATTGGTTGCAGGCTCGCCAGTTTTAAGTCACAGATAGATGACAACAGCCACTGCCTGCACTGGGCCTTCAGATGGACCTTTGTAGCCCAGCACTACTGGCAAAGCTGTGGGAAACAGACCTCAAGGTTAGCATCCAAACCTTCATTTTGGATGTTATGTCTACAAGTAAAAAGTGAGCAAAAATTAAAACTACTGAGATACATGTGAATCATCACACACACTTCAGAAAAGGCATGCTGTGCTCTAGGTCAGTACAAAACATCTTTCATTAATACCTCCAAGTTTTACATGGACACACATTTGGTTTTAACACAGCACTCCTCTTCTGATACTGCCATGAGAATACCAATAAAATACCAGATGTGAAGAGGAACGGAGCCCCTCTCCAAGCAGCCTGCCATTCACACACCTGATGAGGGGATCCAGAACCCTTACACAGCAGTTCTTTTCTCTGCATGATCTCTGCTGGCACCCCAGCATTTTGGTTGTAAGAATGATAACATTCCAAATTCATGTCAAATACAGGGAAAACTACAAACAGAAACACTATTCCTCACTGCTAATAATGCATATAAAATTCACAACTTAAAAACGTTACCTAGTTTGCACACCAGGATGGCACAGAGGGAAGTCCTGACCTTACTACCTCTGGGCTAAGCCTGTTCTTCATCCAAACTGGAGTAGTAATTGATTATGAACAAAAGCATTACCCTCTGATTTAATATCACAACTGGGTGAGTTAAAGTGAAGAGAAACATTCACATTTTAATTTGTTCCCATTCGTTTAGTGGGACCTCAACCACGGGCAGCACGTTATGTTACATAAAAGCATCCTGGAGCCGGCACCCATCTTCCCCTTTTAAGTTTTACCATTCCCTCTGGGCTGAGGACCATGCCTAAAGCCTTTATTTTTTCTTGTCATTAAAAGCTTTCCAAAGCAGAATTCCTAAGAGGAAAAAAAAAAAAAAAAAAAAAAAAGGGAAAAGCTGTTGTTCCTACTTTAACATTTTCTGTAAAATAAAATTAGGGGCTTGGTCAGTTACCCTTGTTGCACAGGTATCCATAAGCACTTGTTTGTGTTGTTAACCTACAGAAGAGCTCCCTGTTTCTGCTCAGAACCGTGCCAGGTTCATAGAGCTCAGAATTTATTTTTAAGAAACCTTATCATCTTTATGTGTTTAATGCAGTGAGAAATGATCATAGCGCCTCACCAAGCTGCTCTCCCCAGCAGAAATGTGCATTAAACTGCACCCACTTTGCTCAGCTCAGTACAGAAACAGGGTAAAAAACAGCTTTAACGTCTGATAACATGAAACATCAGAACTGCAAACAATCAAAGGGCAGTACTAAGGGCTGGAATTTCAGCTGTCACTGCAATACAGAAACACCCGAAGCACTTCTTTCTATCCAGTCACCAAAACACATCTGCTCACAGTACTGAGCTCACTGGTTGTGACCGGCATTAGAACACGTCCCCTCTGTGAATCTGTCCCACCAGTCAGCAGATTTCTCAGTGAAAGGCTTTCACCAGCAGAGCTTCAGAACCCATTCTGCAGCTTATTTTATTTCCAAAGATACTTCAAAGTTCTTCAGAAAGAATTCTTCCCAGTGGACAAGTTTTGAAATCGTCAAGCTGCAGAAGAAGGGTTCACTTCTTCTCTTGGACTGCAAACAGATGTTTGCTCGTAAGTACTTTTATTGTTACACAAACTATCCTTTTTTTTTTAGGTATGAGGATCTGCTCCGGTTTCCACTGACAGCAGCCTGCAGCCCTGATGCTGCTGCTTGTGGTTAGTGGGAATTTTATCACTGAGTTCCACAGAAGAGGTGTTGTAAGTGTTGGCACCGTTAGGAACACACACAGCCCATGAGATTGGCTGGGGGGAAAGAAGAGAATTTGCTCTTTTCCAGGACAGCTTACATCACTGTACAGCTGCAACATCGTCGTTATTCATCTTGGACACTGTGCAGCACCAATCCCACGCTGTACTGGGATCACCAAGGCACTGCATGGTATCTGACTGCACGGGTTCTATCTCCTCATCTGCGGTCAATTTCCTCCACAATCATATTTGTAACTTTTGTTTTTCCTGGTACATCATTTTCGACATCTGAAAATGGAATACAATACAAAACATCCCAATCACTTAGAGGAGCGCTGTGCCACAACTAATTACAAGGTGCTCGGACTTTAAAGCATGGTTGTTAATATTCCTGTGCATAGATTTACTGGGAAAAGGAAATTATGCTGCCGGTATCAATTGCATGCAACACACTGAAACAGAATTAGCTTCAGCTCCTCCAAAGCTAATGGCATTCTCTAGGTTAAATCCTATCCTCAGTGCTGTGATTCAAAATACTTCTCAGACAAACGAAGATAGGCCCTTAGGGCTCCTATCTGGCAACTGCCCCAATGCGCCATCCTGCTTTTGCATCAAAGCCTGCTTCCAGCAACTCACACAGCTCCAGTTTGAGCCTCTAACAGAGCAGTTTCCTGATGCTTTCAGAAGCTGCTGAATGTTTTTGTTTGCTTTGTAAGTCTGCAGTCAATTTATCTCTCCACATTATTAAGAACCTCCAGGAGATATCACTAACCTGCTGCATCACAGTGGCTGCTGAGTGGGTACTGATGTACAGATTGCTAAAAGTTCTTGCATTGAAATAAGTTACTGCAAATGGACAGTAGCTGATTTTGAAACCACAACATCTCTACAATTTATTATTATTTTTTTACAAAATACCCAAAGTGATCAGACCATATTGTAGGTTACTGGCTTGCCAAAGGTTATGTTTTTAAATCAAAACCATTTCTGAGTTACAGAAGTGCCAAAAACAATCTTGAACCAGTATTTTTTTTTTTTTTTAAACCAACCCCCATCCAACGGAACAGTTGAATAACTTAAAACAGAAACAAGAGTTTGTGTTGGAGACTGCTTAAAAACCAACCCACCGAATCATGCTAGAGCAGTAGCCTTGTATGGCAAAGATTGAGCTTAGGGCAATTTAGTGCCAAGATATAGACCCTTGAAAATGGAAATACTGACACAACCTCAACTACAGTGATGCAAATGTGCCCTAAAACACTGTATTTGCTTTTATTAATAAAAGTGGTAGTGTTTACATTTGCAGGTATCTTACACTTCAGCATCACAACGAATACTGAGTAGAATGAGTAAAATTTTGGCTGTAAGGTCAGAAGTTTCCAAACAGATGAATGAGACAGAAGTGAAAGTCCTCAATCATAAAAACAAGAAGTTCAAATAAATAAATAAAACAAAACTAGGAAATATGGGTAAGCATTAGGTTGGAATGGTTCAATTAACTGCAAATTATGGCCGCTAAATTAGAGAGACAGAAGAAAACACAGTAACTTATTAAATAGCAAGCATTAAAGCTTTATGGTTTTGTAATTAAAAAAAAAAAAAGAAGAAGCTGTTAAAAATAAGACTTGCGTTTACCAGGCCACCAAACTGCATGGACTAATAAAGAGACTAACAAAGGCAATACTGAGACATTAAGACACATACACACTCCATACTTGTGCAACTCAACTCTATTCAAAACAATTGCCTTTCTCCTCACTTAAAGAAACGCATCCCCTAAACAGTTCTGTTCATGTAAAGCTTTACAGGAAGGTTTCTCGAGCCGTTACTGCAGCTCACTGTTCTGATGAACCCTTCTCGTTATCAGAAGTTGGTTTATTTGTTGGTTGGTTGAAGGAGGGGCTTTGCCTCTCTCAGGTGAGAGATTACATTCCTTCCACCACAACAGGTTCTCCCCTTTCATACATTTGCTGTTTACAGCAACTCCTCCCAGGCTTAAGAAGATTAAGGGTTGGCACTACGTTAAACATTTTGGCTCCTGTAACTAAAATTAAGGCTCACAATGGATTTCCTCCTCACTCTGCGTGTCCCGTTTTTACCTCCCTTAACCACCAGGCACTGGATACTTTCTGAAGGGACTGAGGGCCATTTTGAGTCACGTTCTCCTACGTTTCTGTCAGGTTCAGGTGACAACTTTCTAAAAGCATGAACAGGAAAGACAATTTTCCAAAAACAAAGATCAACTGCAGCTCATATGTTTAGATGATTTAGTGTCTTCTGAAAAATCCACAGCAATTTTGAATTATTTGGAACGACTGGGATAGGAACTCCATCAAATCCCAGCTCTTCACATACATGACAATGGACTAGGCAGTTAATTCTCATTTACAAGTTCAGCCACAAAAGCAATGCCAACTCGCAATCCTGAACAGCTGCAGTCTGAGTACTGAAGGCATCTGATACCTGAAGCAAATCTAGCTGCACAGACATCACTGACCACACTCTCTTTTTAATTTAAACTGGACCTTTTCCCAAAAAAGAATCACAGGATCTCAGATAAAGGGAAACCAGCGTGAAAGGCAAAGAGGCAAGTGTTCAATTTCCTTTTGTTTTCCTTTTAAAGTCACTGCATTAAGATCCAGATCAGTTTAGGGGTGTAAATGAAAGGGAACAGGGGGGTTTGAGTAATATAAGCTAACACTGTTCTAGATGTGTTATTACAGTTGTAATTTCTGACTCTGTACAAATTGTACACGTAGGTTTAGACACATGAAAAAGTAACACACTCACAGAGACATAAAACACCTAGGTATAAAATATAAAGCAGTGTAGTAGTTACTAAAATTACATGCTCTCTTATTGCTACAGTGATTTTTGCTCTTTTTCTTTTTACTGTACCACATGTTGTTCTAAGCATATAATTTGCATAAATTATTCAAGTTTAAGAAAAATCCACACATCTTCACTTTAAGCTACTTATATAGTTAATATAAAACAAAAAGGTTCTAAAGTATCTCTTTATTAAAAGAGAAATAAAAATGTCATTTGAAACTGGAATTCAGTGGCCAAATCCAAGGGCAGTGCACACCTTGTCATTCTGGTAGCATTATGCCCACGCAGTGGAAGTGGAGGTTGGTGGGTATTTGGCCCAGTCTAGAGATGGTCACCAGACCTGCATGATGCCCTACGTGTTTGTTATTGTTCTGTTTTTGTCTTTAGCAAAAAGGACTATGAATGACCAAAGACTAACATTTATAATTGGTAGCAAAATTTGGTTTATGTAGAAACAAGCCATGTTTTGCATTTGGATAGAGATTTAAATGAATTAAAGCTAAAATTAAAAAGCATGATGCTGCAACATCTGGTCACTTGTTGAAGACCTCACTTTTAAAGTGGTTAAGTTTGCACAATTTATACTTTTTTCTTTTTTTTTTCCTTTTTATCTTTTTTTTCTTTTTTTTTCTTTTTTTTTTACTAAACAGCATTTTTTCCTTCTTTTATAAACCAGAAAAACTAAACTACAGATAAATTTTCCCTACCTTGAGCTAATGCTGCAGATAGGGTTGACAAAGCTGTACAGCGCAATCAAACATACTTACATCTTAGCTCATTGTACAGGTACAGCCATAATCAAGGCACAAAGATCTTCTACAAGTTATTTTTTTTTCAATAAAGTTGTACAAAATAATACATTTTACAGTCTGTACAAGAATAATAATCCAGCAGTAAAATAAAAAATGAGGGGAGGGAAGAAGAAAAAGAAGGGAAAGACTGTGAGGACTACAGTCCAGATAATGATTCTTATAGCAGACGGGATCATCAGTGGACAAACTGAAAACAGTGTGTGGTGAACTCTTTCTGCGATCACAGGCCATATGCAGTTCAATTCATAAACGTCCACGGTTGTCTTAAGACCACCAAGACTGGTTTTAAAAATACCCTTCTGAAAGGTAGCAGATGGTTTTTGCACTGTCTAGGTCTGTTGTAGAACTGTCAGTATTTCCGTTCAAAGCCACATTACAGTCAGAGAGCCAAACTCAAGTGTCTGTCTTCAAACTTGGTCTGTGACTTGGCACCTTCTTTAGTCTGATGCAGTGAATGGTACAAAGTGGAGATCACGGGTTATATGATTATGCCCACAACAGTGCTAAATTACCTAAAGTATTCTCTCCCCAATTTTTGTTTTATGCTTTAAATTTCAAACCCCAATTCTTTCAGGTGCTCCACATTCAGGGCTTTCAATTAATTAGTTTATTTCTTTTTTTTTCTTTTCTCTCTCTCTTTTTTTTTTTGTTTTTTTTTGTTTTTTTTTGGTTGTTGTTAATAACAGTGTTAGGGAGTCCTCATGGAAATGGCCTTTAAGTGTTAGGGGCCATCTCAAACTGTCCGAGGGGTAAAGAAGCAAGCTTAGAAGTGCTGCTATTGTCCAGCAAGGAGAAAAAGTTGAGGGGTGCAAATCAACGGGAGATTCAAACAGTTCTCTTCCATCCCTTGTGGGCAAGGGTGCTTTTTTTCTTTCTAATAAGGAATAAGGAGTCCAAAACACAGAAAAAAGTGCTGTCCATCACAACAACTCGTATTGGCGAAGGTGCATGCGTTGAATAATGTCCCGACAGTCATTGAAAACCCTCCGGATGTTCTCTGTATCCACTGCACATGTGAAGTGAGGATAGCAATAGTGCCTTCCATCTCCACTTGCTGTGCTGATTCTCTGTTCAAAGTAAGAGAGAGATACCAGGTTACAATAAAACAAAAAATGGTCTCAGACCTCAGGTGAATGAAGGTTAAGGTAAGTGTGTGTGAGCTGTGCTTTCATAGGGCGAGCTAAGAGGCAAAATGCCCACAATTTCTCACTCTCTCACCTAGAACGTGAATTAAAATGACTGTAATTATATGGTGAGAGGTCATCATGTACCAGGGAAAGAGTTGAAAGAGAACTCGAAAAGTGCTATTTTATGTATGTTCAGTGAATTTAGTCACACAACTCCTGGCAAATCACTGCACGTAGAAAGTGAGAACTTGCCTCACAGTACAAACCTCTTTAGCCCCATTTCACACTAAAAAAGCCTGCCTGAAAATCTTACGTTGTTCCAGTATAAAATGAGTTCACAACTCGACTGCCATACTCACCATTACAACTGAATTTAGTAATACTTAAAACCCCTATGGTTAGTATAGCTTTAGCTGACTAGTAATGGAAAAACTACATGAAAATGTATCATTAACATTTTGCAGATGGTGCATCTTTTCATTAGTCTTTGTCTTTAAAAGTGATGAATAAAAGCCTGGCCCCACAACAGCAGCAGCATTTCACTCGTTATTCTCCATTTGAGGTTTCTTATTTCTCACCAATGCTTTTGCTGCTTAATTACAGTCTGCATCAACAAACGTACCTGCAAGAGCAACTAACAAAGTGCTGAGCTGTAAAATGTGCCTGTTTCGTGCAGTGCAGACATCAAATATAAGCTACACAAGAAGCAGCAGCATTTTTCAGTATTAAGAAGTGCTAAAGCCTGAATTTTAGAAGAATCACGTAAGTAATATTGAATGAAAGAAAATACTTACAAGAAACTCGTCTCTAATAAAATACTTGGCCCTTGTAACTCTGGGATCCTCACCAGGCTCTGGTGTTGCTGATAAATAACAGAATAAGCAACTCATTAAAACACATTTTTTGCTGATCTCCCCTAAAAATCCTAACTTGTCCTGTTTTCTGTTTGCATGTGATAGAAACATTTGTATTATGCAAACCTGACTAAGAAATTAAACAAAACATTATATTCAAAACAGCAAGACATTAAAATTTTTAGAACAAAGTACTGTTAAAGTGTCTCTAATACCAGACATCTGGCAGATCAGAACAATGACTGCAAATGTGACTGAAAGGAATACACTCTTGCTACTATTGGGTCTCACACCAATAGCAGTAGCTTGGGAACAGTACTGATGAGGTTACAGATAAATCGTAATGCTAACTGTATACATTTCATTTACTATTGGTCCATCCATGTACAGAGGTATGGATCTGCACAGTTCTGTGAGGAAGGCCCCTCATTATAGGCTTCCTACTGAAAAAAGGTTCAGTCTGCTGACTTGTGGCAACCATCTCAGACAGCAGGGTCAAAGTTGGTCCGTTCGGTACGTGTCAGAGATTGCTGCAGCGTCGCCCCGGCACTACTGCTGTAAGCTGCACTGTACTCTACCAGCAAAGTAACAGGATTTTGGCATGACGAAACTATTAATATATTAAACAAATAAAAGATAGGATTGTCACATTACAGAAACCTAAAACAGAATAGAACAGTTCCCTTGGAAGGGATCTACAAAGATCATCTATCTACTCCAACCACCCAACCCCTTCAGAGCTAAGCCAAAGTGAAAGCATGTCAGAGCATTTTCCAAATGCCTCTGACTACAGACAGGCGTGGGGCATCAGCCTCCTTTTTAGGAGACCTGCTCAGGTGTTTGATCACTCTCATGCTAAAGAAATTTTCCCCAATGTTCATCTGTAACCTCCTCTATCACAGCTTTGTGCTGCTCCCTTGTGTTCTAATTCTAATGCCTGAGAAACAACAAGAATTTTCAAATTTTACCTGAAATTAACAGTAACACAGCAAATGAGATTAATAACAAAATTATAAATTGCTGATAAAACATAAATATCTTACCATCATCTGGTGTAGTGTAGCGAGCAAATTCTGGAAAGTAGTCTTCAATTTTAGATTTCCCTGCCAAAACTTTCTCTGCTAGCAAATCTTGTTTATTCAGGAAAAGAATTACTGAAATGGTCCGTAGCCACCTATAAGAAATCGAAGCTGGGTAACTTGAGATGGCATAGCTGGGATCATTTAGTAAAAAGAAACACAGTCTAGTTCTGAAGACAACATGTCACGATGATCCAATACAGTAACTGTGAAACGCGATTTTAACACGGGAATTCAGCAGTGCAATTCAGACTGCACCTCCCTGAGGTTTGGTTTATGTGATTCCAATGCAGGCAATGCAATTTACCCTCTGACTCCAGACACAACAAGTGAGCTTACAATAGTAAATTAAGAAGTGGTCATCACTGCTTTAATTACTTAACCCTCAATACTACCAGTCTGTAACTCTCCAAAGCGTTCTTCAAGAAGCTGAGTGCATGAGACATTAATGTAACAAGAAGGCAGCTGTGAGCAAAGGCTGGCTTAAACAGGGCCAAGAGAAGCAAATAATGTAGTTTACTCTCTAACAAGTCTTCATCAGGATTACCAGTTTATTTGGCATTAACAATGAAACTTCAACTCACAGACCTGTTGTTCCAGATACTCTTGAAGAGATTTAGTGCTTCTTGGAGCCGATTGGTCTGATTGTCCTCTCGTATGACCATGTTGTAGCTACTGCTGGCCACCACAAATATGATAGCAGTCACATCTAAATCAAGAAATACTCATCAGTTAATACCAACCTAAAGAAGAAACATCCCAGAATTTAAGAGTTTACAAAAAAGCTGCCAATCCTTCAGCTTCATTAGGAGATAAGGCCAGAATGCTATTATTTACATATGTAATATGTACCAGAAATCTAAAGAGGTCTGGAGATATTCGCAGGGTTACAGAATTCAGATTTCTGTGTGGCTGTGCTGCTCTATGCCACTACACTGACCTCTCAGATCATCTGCCTCAGACATCAACAGCAGAAGAGATGAGTCAGATCATGAGGTAACAGGAAGAGGAAGGAGCAGAGGTAGAAACCAAACAGATCTGTTATAAATAGCACAGAAGAAAATACTGCGCCGTAGTCTCACGTATATCAACAGTATGCAGCTGATACTACTGTGACAGTAACTGCAGTGAAGAGGGTTCTAAACTGCATTCTACCTCATCTCTCCTGTGGGATCTCACTATAACTTGTCTAAAAAGAGACTGACACCTGCACAGCCTCATAAATATTTTGTCCAAAGAACAAAGAGGAAAATGTTTTCATCAACATTAGCTTTAAGAAAACTTGTGCAGAGAAAGGTTTCACATCTTAATAGAGATACAGAGGTGAAATAAACAGCTTTAGTGTGGCAACACTTCAAGGTGCTTAACTACCTTATTTTAATTGTATGAATGTTAGGAATAGCCTGCTACAGTAAGCTGGACTATCAGTGTTAAGATTCCAGAGCTCACAGAATGCCTGGCAAAAAAAGCCAATTAACCCTATTAAGAGAGGAAAGCTGAAGAAGATGAACGGGCTACGTTATCAACTTTGATTCCTTTCCTACATTCTCCTTTCCCTACATCTCCCAGATCAGAGTTACACACACACACACACACACACACACACACAAATTCCATCCAGTATGACTGTACAGAGAATTCCTGAGCAAGCTATCTGGAAAAGAAGATGGCTTTCACAAGGTGAGAATATAAGACCAACATTAAAATGGGTGACTATTTTATAGAAACAAATTCTGATCATACCATTAAAACACTGGATCCATTTTCGGCGTTCATCTCGTTGCCCTCCAACATCAAACATACTAGGAAAAAAAACACAGAGTTACAGCACATCTCAGGGAGATGAAAACAGCACACGTGAGAAATTTTAGGACTTCCATATCACAGAAACAAAAAGAAATCAAGCATTATGAGAACCTTAACAGGATGACATATGCAAGCAGGGCTTTCACTACAAAACAGAACTGTGTGCTCTCACTCAAGCCTACAGATAAACAGTAAGAAGTTCTGGCGTATGCACGCTGCAGGTTCATTTTCATCCTTACAAAGACAACACTGAAAGAGGCCCTGCTACAAGTCATTTGAAGGCATTACTTCCTCCAATTTATCTCAGTTCTTCTGCACTGTACTAAAGAATGGGGAAAAAAAAACAAAAAAACAAAAGAGAGGACACTTACTGAAAATTTACTTTGTCCACTTGAAACTTGGTTTCAAAAATTCCTGATGTCAAAACTCTGCATCTGAGAAGATCCTAGAACATAAAGGGAAAATAATTGATTCAACATATACTTTATAATTCTTCATATATCCAGCAAGAGAGAGAAAACTTTTTACTTAGTGCTCACAGTGTGCTACAAACAGAGAACAGAGCATTACAAAGCTGCACTCTGATCTCGAAAATGCCTACACAAATATCCCTGTGCTCAACTTCAAAAGCACACACAGTTTCACAATCAGGATGCCAGTGCCCAGTGTGGAAGAGAAGAGAACATTTACAGGTCACTTATAGTAAATGTGAAAGGTCAGAGCAGTGGCACAATCAGCACTGGAGATCCACATTCACTGATTTCAGTGGGACTGCAGTGCACAACAGCATCTTTAAGCAACTACCAACCCATTCCCAGCCTCAGAAGACAGATCTCTCCCCCCAGCTGCTCAGTGTTTGGCCATTAAAAGAAATGCCCAGGTCTCCAAATTTTCCATTGTCTTTTCCTTAAAAGAATCAGCAACTCAACCACCTAAATCTTACAAGATAAAATTTGAAATTTCCTGAAGAAATAAAAACAATAATTTGAGAGCTATCAAAAATTGAAATGACTATAATTGCTGCAAAATCCTATCATGTAGGTTGCTCTGAAAGTAATGCCTCTATTTATTTCCAGGGAAACTACAGGAGATACAAAGAGCAAAATAACATTATTTGATAAATTCTCAGCTACAAAACACTGTGTTTTTAACACAGTCATCACCATCAGCTATGCGTATTTGCAAGTCATTGTATTTGTAAGTCAGACAGTGCCAAATCCAAACTATATGGCGGGTGTGGTAGAACAGTCCAGCCAAGACTGACAGCACGCTCCATGGTCCTCAGACTGGTATGAAGCCTGGCATTATTGCGTTGTAAAATAAAGGCTGTCTTCTTCTCTGACCTGGCTCTGAAAGTATGAGTCCTCAGCTTAAGTCAGTGTTGCACGGCAGTGGTTGGAGTTGCTGGTTTGTTTGGGTTCCAGGGAATCCAGAAGGATCACCCCTTTCCTATCCCAAAACACACTGCACATCACTTTGTCCCCTGACGGCTGCATCTCAAACAATTTCTCTGAAGGAGAGTTCACATGTGATCGCTCCACAGACTGCCACTGTGACTTCATCTTGTGGTGACACCACACCTCATCGTTGGTGATGATGATCCAGAAAACTGTCACCTTCAGCCTCGTGTTGGTTCAACAGATCCTGGCAAACGTGCATATGGTGTTCTTTCTGTCCATGTGAGCATCTGTAGGCTCACCTGGTCCTACTGTTTCCAGTGCACTTAAGTTGATATTCAACTCCCTAAACAGCTCCCTGATTATTATCTGCATGGATGAGCTGATTGAAACCCTCTTCATTTCATGGTTTGACAACTGTGCATGGCCATCCAGGACATGGCTTGCCTTTCATGCTGCTGTTGCCACTGCTGAGATGCAACCACCCACCATCTCACTGTGCTCACATCCAATGTTTGGTCTCCATAAATGTTCAGAAAGCGCTGATGAATATCAATGGGTGCCATTTCTTCTGCACAGAGGAGTTAAACTCCACAATTGCTCCATCCTCACTTCCCCGTCAGACAACATTCTGTCCAACTGCCTCTGCTGCCATCCGTCACAGGGCAGCAAAATGTAACAGTGTTGGTGGGAAGGTGCAAACCCTGCTGCCATAGCACCAACATCTGCCTCTGATGTTGTGGGCAAACATCAAAAAACAAGAGGCATTACTTTCAGAGCAGCCCTCTTTAAAAAATAAAAACATACTGTTGTGGGTTTTTTTTGTGCACACTGAAAAGCAGTGGCAGCCATAATGCAGTGCCTAGCAGGTAATTAACACTGATGAACCTATTTTGCATAAGCATCAGACACAGTCCAGGGGTAACTTACTACAAAACACCACTCTGAATTCACTTAAAGGCTTTATAACTTAAGACTTAAAGTTTGGTGCTCTTAACAGCAGATCCAGACAGCAGCCAAACTGTAACATTTGGAGTATGTAGACAAGATCACAAACAGATTGTAAAAAAATGTATGTGCACAATACAAGCTCTGTTCTTACCATGTAGGGATCAAACTGGTTAGTCAAAGTCAAAACCACACAAAATCCAAAGGTTATACAACACTGTTAAATCATTAAACAAAGTGGCCACATTTTAACGTCAGTAGTAAATTATTGTTGTCTGGCTGTTTTAATACTCGTATTGAAATACACACATTTAAATATTGTTGTAGCTTGATCCCTGGGTTTCAAATAGTTTATAAATTCTAATGCCGTAAGACAGAAACAAGTTTGGAGAAGTGCATTCTCAGGAGTTTTGATTTCTAGTGGTGCAGAACAAGTGTGATAGGAAAACAGCCAAACAAAAACCACTGCCTACCTCAGGAAAGAAAATGTAAGGAAGCAATTTAATTATTAATTGCACTCAGAGGTTATTAGAACAAACATGTAACGTCCCAGAGGAAAATGCACATTGCCCTGTTTTACTACAAGCCTGCATGGAGTTTGGATGCTGCCAGTTGTCCCAAAGAAGGGCCATCAATAGCTGTTCTCACTGTTACCAATGCAGTCCTTACATATTTACCCATTAGTAATTACTCCAAGTAAGTAATAAGAAATGTACTTACTACAAGACTCAAACAACAAGGCAATTTTTACTGGAATACTGAATATGTACAGCATGTGGTAAGGACTATGGTAGTGCCAGAAAGAGCAATTGGAAAATTCACTAGAGAGATATCCTAAAAGACAGAGGGTGCAGACACGTTGTGTAATCCCTTAATGAAACTTTCCTTACCTGGTCAGATGGTGTATACTCATTTTGTTTCACTATATCAATCTTGTCTAGAAAACTGGGAAAAAAAAGAAAAAAAAATATTTTTTAATACTCAGGAAATTTAGATAAATAGGGGAGTTGCCATATATCAGTAGGGAAGCTTTAATGCATTCAGGTGCACCGAGTGCTGAATCCAAGGAAAATGCTGAGCACTCCCATGTGAGCACTGGGAGCACACAGCCCTGCAGCAGCCAGCAGAGGGCTGCAGCCACAGCAGCACCCAGCACCGCTGCCTTTGGGCAACTCTGCCCCATCACCTGAGCAATGCAGGCTGTCCTGCTGGCGTAACACAATGACTCCAATAAATTACCTACATGTAATAAGCCTGAAAATAATATTTATATGTATACTGTCACTAAGTCATTTAGTAAATGAAATCCCTGAACTGATTTCATTACAAGTTCAGTTAAGTGTAAGAGAACACTGCTTTTATTGTCAACTGCAGGGAAAAGTTTCTCAGTGTACTTCCTGGAGAAGCAGTTCTAATAGGTACAGATACTTACCTACAGTAGATATGTAGATATAGAAAGAATTATTTTCTTCCAATTTCTTAGAATTTGAATAGAAGAAGCTATTGAGTCTTTTTTTTTTTTTTTTTTAACCAACAAACTGTAGCCTCCCAATTATCTTCCACCTTAATTCGGAGTAAAAATCTCAAGGAACCCATGGGTGAAGTTTGACTGTGGTGTTGGCATAAGACTCAGACACCGCAAACCAAACTTCAGGACACAGCCCTGATGCTGCCAGGCACCTTCATCACCTTCCCCACGCCAAGTATGCAGCAGTACAGCAGGGCTCCAACACCTTTCATTTTCATATGAATAGCAGATTAGCTGGAAATGCTTTCACAGTTAACTTCACTGATAACATTAATGATTAATCAGCCTTCAAACCATTACACTTTAGTTTCCTTTAAAATTCCTGTGCATTCATTTTGCCCTTATGAAGCAGAAATGACAGCGAAAGAGGAGTTTTCCCTTCTGTTCTCTATCCATAGAGAGGGACGCTGAGCATGCACTAACTACAGTCGTGAGCAACAACTTAAAGGGGGAAAAAGGTGACCGAGTCCCAGATTCACACATCAGAAACCAAAACACCATGAAGATTAGTCAGGGTTTTCAGTCCCCAGTTTCAGGCCCTACTGCCCAGCTGGCTTTCTGACACACAAGACGCAGTGCAGGGGAAGGAGGAAAAATGATCGCATGTTTTAACAGCGGCTTCAGAGCAAAGGCATTTATGCCAGGAACTACATTACCTTCTTGTTTCAGAGACAAAGGAAAAGCAATTTTTGATCAGCCTGAATTACAGGATTTGTAACATATCAAAATGTGCTGTAGCAAACGTGCTATTAAAAAAATAAAAGAAGTATAGAGTTCAATTTCTGTTCTGAAAGGAGACATGGAGACGAACAAAGATAAACCTGATGCCCAAGTGTGTACTGCACCATTTGCAAGCTGGAGTTTTTCCTCATCTCTTCCAAGCAGATAAATGATACCTTTTCCTTTTTACCCCAAAGGAAAAGTTTTTTGTTTGGCAGACAGAGGACATGAAATGTGGTTGACAGTCATGAAGTCCAACTAGCACAAATGCTTTCATCTTACAAAGCACTTTTTTACCACCAGTTTCAGAATCACGTGGAGATTTCAGAAGTTGGATAATGCCTGAAAAATGCTCAGAACACATCACACTCATAAACACGTTAAGCTGATCCCTACAGCTTCCAGACTTCTCGTACTGATCTCACCTACGTGCAACACTTCATGAAAGGTTCCACAAAAGGTGGGTTTTTCTTCTGTTTTTAAACATGCTGCTAATCAGCTTAATGGATTTTGGAAACGAACAGAAAATAACAACAAGATTTTGCTACAACCTGGAACTGAAAGTACAAACCTCTTACTGTTGTTTATGCAGACTATTTTTAGACCAATGATTTCCTTGAAAAACATCAGCCACGCAGGAGAAGCAGTACTGTACTGGAGATGAAATCCAACAGCAACGTCCATGCCAGGTAAAACAAGTTGGAATGGAATAAACAGATCTTCTTCCCCCCAGAAACGTGCTCTAACACTCAGTATCATCTGATGCTTGTAGCAATACAAGTTCAAAGTAAGTTTCTTTGTGTGAGCTACCAGAGAACCCACACGGCTCCGAAGTGGCATTTGAAGGAAAGCAAAGCAATAATGCTAAATGAACATTTCCTCCTGTACGTATTCCTTTTCATTAAAAAAAATCTGCTCTATCAACTTCAGAATGGGCTGAAGACATTAAAAAGTTGTTTTGTTTTGTTTTGTTTTTTTGCAGAAACATTGGAAAGAATCATCATTCTCTCAACTGAACAACTGGAACACTAAATGTGGTCTAAAATAAGCAGCAGTAGTGGAGCACAAGAGTTCAGAAAAGTTCAATACACTCTGTTCAGAGATGTCTGTGTCATTGTTAGTCAAGACCAAATAACTTATCCAGTAAATGAAACTAATAATCAAGTGAGGTGAGAACAAAAGCTTAATTCAAAATGAAAACAAATTCAGCATCATTAATTTTTATTTTTAGCTCTTATTATGCTCTACCCAAAACAGAAGTACTACCTTGTGTGCTGAGTTCAGTGCTGTCAGACTGTGCTAAGCCCGTTGGAGAAATGCCCATCTACTGTGTCAGCAATGAATTTCACAGGGAGAAACGTAAGTGACCTTGGTGAAATAACTCAAACAAAACAATCACACCGTGAAACCAAATCTTATATTGAGGGCAAGTTTTGCACCAAGATACAAAGTCAGATTTTTTCTTCTGTGAATTTTTTTTCCAGAAATTCTATGGGAAAACTGTTTTCCAGAACGCAAATCATTCATTCAGCATTGCTGCCAATTCCCACTTAGGGCCAGATTCTGAACGTGACTAAATAACAGTTGCTGCCCTGCAAAACTGACACAGGGTATAGGTGCTTCTGTCTGTACCACTTATTAAAGGAAAATAAAATTACTGCTGTGTGCTAAGAGATGGTTAATAAAAGAGATTCTAGGTCATCTGTGGCCAGCAACATTGGTGACGAAGCATTGCTAGGACAGCAGCAGATGCATCCCTGGGATATTAAAATGCAAGGTATTAATAAAAAACGTAAACCACCTGAAATTAAAACCACATTTTATTTTTGGATCCTTCTCTTCAGCTCAGTGAGAAAAACAGCCATACGAAACGTTGGACACACATCTCTGTAAGAATCCAGTTTTGTTAATTGTACGGGATGTGCTCAGAAAGCAGGACTCACACAGACACACACAGAAGCTTTCTTTAGCTCCCTCTCAATGTAATTAAGCCATTCACATACCACCAATTATTTCAAATTTTTAGCAAGTTTGTTACGCCAAAACTGTGTCCCAATTTTCCCTTCAATATGCATGCAAATTTCAGATTAATCATGGAGCTTTTCTCATATAGGAACGATTGCCCTGGTTTTGCTTTATTCCTCTTTGGGGGGAGCTCCCTGAACCACCAATGCTGCTGCAAGACCAACAACTGCAGCGTGTGCTGGAAAAGCACGTAACACATTAAAACCTCAGCCTCTGGAAACAGCAAACTTCACCACATGGGGAAAAATGGGGAGGGGGAAATCAGAGCACCTTGCCTCATGCATTTCCTGACAGCCTTCTCAATACACAATGAACTGACATTTCTAGTCTTTGTGATTCGATGAAATGGTTGACAGGCAAAAACAAAATTTGCTCTGTCAGGATGAGGTTTTGTTTTCAGTCTACAGTAACTCCAGAAATGTCCCTTCAAACTGACCACACACCTATATTTGAAAAGCTGCACTTCCATCAGCTTCTTTCTTTTCTGTCAACAGAAATCTGAATTTGTATACAAAATTAATTGACCTTAATTCCCACTGCGTTTTCTGCCTCCACCATTGCACATCCTACATTCATCTTATCTTACAGATAGAGGAAAGGGATGGGAAAAAAAAAAAAACAAAAAAAATGGAGGCACATGTGGAGTCTGCTGGTTGCCTGGAGTCCCTCAAGTCAGTGGAAATGGAATTTTCACTTCCTCTGAGTCATGTATGTCTACCAAGATATTACTAAGAATTACCCACTCAGATCTACCCTGATCACCTTTAAAGCAGCCTTCACGATTCATACTTCTACTTCTGCAGATAAATTAATATTTGTGTGCTGATCTTCCTCAAGAACCAACTGTACAAATGAGGGGCAGGTTTTTACTATTTATTTATACTCTATCAAGGGCTCCAGAACTGATTCTAAGCTCTCTTAAAGCTGAAGTTTAACTCAATATTAATAGTGTTTATAAAACAAGAGCACACTTTTAACTTCTCAGAATAGATCATGCTTAGTTCTACTATGCTCCCTTTTTAGTCTTTGCCATTCTCCATTATGTACCTAAAGAATGGCTTTCTAAAAGCTAAACAGCTAACTGTCTGATAAAGCCTTCCTTCAGCTTTTTGTCTGTGCAGAAGCCAGTCACAGGATCAGCACAACGATGCAACGCACTCTTTAAACTGGGTATTCAGGTTCAGAAATGTAGCATGTACAAACCGTAACTTTAACACAGTTAAAAATAAAAAATAAAACACAGAGGGGTTTTCCAAACCCTGCAAAGTCAGCTCTGTTACAGTGTGAAACCACGGCTGCCCATCGGGCCAACGCACTGACAACAAAACCAGGGCACAGCATCCACTTTCCGTTGCAAGCGTGCATATCCACATTGACCGCCCCTCAGCTCTTTCTGTTCCTGCTGTTCTTGGGAGCAAATAGGAGATTAGAGGGGGAAAAGTCCTTCTTAAATCAATGACAAAGATTTCTGTAACATTTCAGCTGGTTTATTTTCTAAGAGATGCAGAAAAGCAGGCAAAGTTTCAGGCACGACATAAATAAAATAAGCAAACATTTGGTCTGCTGGTATTTGCAGTATCCTGCAAACACGGACTGTCTATGGAACCAAACCTGCCACATTCTCTCTCAAAGTGCAGTTAAAATTAAAACTGAGCCATGACTAGACTTTTGT